TGTAAATGCATTTCAAACAGTTTTTCACAATTATAAAATATTCTACTGTTTCTTTGTCTAACAAAATATGAAATTAAAATAGGCATGGAACCGACAATGTTGAACTCTGTTAGAATGTGAATGTTTCGCTGTTTTCTTGTTGAAATCAATTTGAATCTCGCAAATGGAAGATGATTTGTACTGAATAAGAAATTAAAAAAATGTGTTTTTCCAGATTTTCGTTCGATATTTTATAAATGGAAGTTGTACGTTTAACTACTTTGATGTATCATTTATTTGATCGATTGCACACACTAAACTCAGATCAAATGAAAAATAAAATCTACTAAATCATGGATTAAATGTTTGAGACAATGGATTTGTTGTTATTGTAGTTTATAGTTGATTTCACCGAAAGGCGGTCGTTACAAAGGTTTACATTTAGGCACACATCGAACATGGTAAGCAATGAAAGGTGTCGGTGTGTTTACATCAATTAATAAAATTTGTAGACATATATCCATATAAAGAATATATAGTGCGTGTACTTGTAAAAGCTATTTTGTATGGCCACTTTCAATGACCCACCACTTTGCCATTATACTTTATGAAATCTTTTTCCATACTGCACTTTTTTATGAATCGAATATCATTCATCATCATTTGCAATTTTTGATTAAGAGGATTTGGAAGTGGCAAACGTTTTAACGAGCAATCCCGTAACTTTTGCTAGGGGCTATTCTATGAAATTAAAACTATTTCGAAAAATGAGTGCGTTTTGGTCCTGAATGTCGTTTCAGTCTTGGTCAAATTTAAAACCAGTTTCGTCACTTCCAAATGCTATTGTTACATGTTTGCAAATGTTTTTTTTTTTTACTTTTGAATGAAAAAAGTTCGAGTATATTTAGGAGGTCACAAGAGACACGATCGATTCTCAATTAATTCCTGTTGCTCTCGTTTTCGTTCACAATTCTTTCATGTAATTCAAGTGTTTCTTCACCATGTTCAATAATAATGGAGGATTTAAAATGCATATTGTAAATTGTTCGTTGGTTTTGTTATAAAATAAGCATACATTGATTTTTGGATAGGATAGTTCCACAAGAGCTGGATCTAGGCGTGCGTACTCCGCCGTATGATACACGGAGATCTTACGGATCTATCCTATCCAAAAATCAATGTATGAAAGTAAGCTAAAATTTAGTAAAACTAAGTAAATGATGGTAAATTATCGTTGTTCAAATATGACTGTTATTGTTTCTAAGATGGAGATAAAAAAATGTTACCGTTTTTCTGCGGTTGATTAGAATTTCCATTTTGTTTTGTGTCACATTGGACGGTATGAAGCTTAAAGCGATTGAACATTGAAGAATAATTTAGGAGCAAATATTAAAGCTTAACATTATTATGTAAGATTCATTATCTTGTTCATAAGCACACTTTTCAATTCATATTTTTTTGTTTTTTTCTTTTGTTTTTTTTTTTTGTAAGATACAAACACGTCTAAGCCTCTTCTGAAATAAAAGCGCTTACACAGGCACTGCATAATTAATCTTTCCTTTCATACTTTCGTCGTCAGTTTATGTGTGGACAATGTCTAGGCATGTAAACTGAATGGTTGTCGATTTATTGGAGCCATTTCAACTTGACGAATGGTTTCCTCGACCACCTCTTGTCCGTCGGGCTGTTCATTTGGCTCTTCACCCACAAGATGGGCCAATTTACTCTCTTTGTAACGTCCTTGCGATCCGTTGATGGCACGATCTTCACATACACACAGAAATAGAGTATCAACAACCATCTGATAGAAAAGACATAGAAACAAATAAAGAATTATGACGCACTATAAACTAATATATTAGTTGTAAATGTCAATAATTACCTCGAACAGAGACAGAATTATATGAGCGATAAAGAATGAGAAGAGTGCAATGAAGAATGCTGGCAGCATGTAGAAGTGAACGTCATCACGATGACGCAACAACAACACACTTATCAATCCACAAATCAATCCCACCGCCAATTTGCCCAAGAAGAGAATGAAATCACCAATTCCATTGATTGTTGCCACTTGAATGCTGTTTGCCATCATTGCATTCCAGGCCTAAGTACATACACGAAAAGAGTGAGATTTTCATTTATACCATTTACTGACTTCCACATCAATTAATAGAAAAACACTTACAACACCAGCTGCCGGACAAAAGTTGATATTTTCAATGGCTATTGTAAAACGAAAAAAAGAGAGAAATATTTTCAAAAATGATTCGTTGAATGTATTTCCAAGAAAATGGAAACTGAAAAATCTGAAAAGATTTCTCTGGCTGAATCTTGCAAAATTTCATACCGATGACAGTGTATGCATTATGATTTAAAAATCGAATGAATTTCTCAAGGAACCAGAAGCAGCAAATGCACGATTTCATACAGCATTGAGCACATTCGGATCCTTTATCACTTCCCGTCTTCAATCTGAATGTGTAAAATGTCGTTTCAAGTGGTGATTTAAAAAAAAAAAAACAGAAATTTCCTTACTTTGCATACAAATAGGTCAGAATCAATCGTGGAATTTTGAACAATGTTATAAGAATTGATCCCTTTGCAGCGCTGCCCAAGTGATACTTTAAAAGTTTTCCAATCGCAGTGAGAACCGGTGAATCGGTAGGTTTCCGGAAGTACCAAAATACGACAGCACCAGCCAATGCCAATTGTTGACACGCTAATAGGTGTGAGGGGTAAACAAAACACATAATTATCGATTTTTATATTACGGTAGATCAAATAAATGAACACTCAATTGAGTACTCAAGCAATTATGTTTTATAACTTAATTTCCATTAATTACTGTCGTATAATTTATGTTTGTTTTCGTGTGTCGAATGTCCATAATTGCCATTGAATAAATAATGCAGTGCTTACCAAATATAAACTCGCATGTCCAAATCAATCCAACTAAATAGAACCAGAACATATTTTGTAGTACATCAACATCATAATATTCAATGAATGTGAATGTTTTATAATCGGGACCGGTGTTATTTCGAATGGGAATCGATGGCAAAGGAATGGTGGCCAATTCACTTATATTGCCCGGTGATTGTTTGAGCAATGGCTTGTAGTCTGGATGTTTTGCAGTTGCTAAGCACACCACAACAGTTACCCAAAATGCTAAGAATAATGCCAATGCAATTGAGGCAAGAATCGATGGAATCACTAAACTTGGCATTTCCAACATACAACTGCTGGCCTCCTCGAAAAGAGCAGCCAAACCGCTTAATTTCTTTCGCATTAAAAATACCACCACTATTACCATGATCTAATTGATTTATAGATAAAGAAAATAATAAATTATGTTATACCGCGAATGTATTATAAAAATCAAAATTGCTTACCATAATGATGGTGGCAATAATTGCCATTGATTTAATCATTGTTTCATTCCGTAAGAATTCGTCAAAGTTCGAGTATTCAAAATCATCCATTTTTACTTTGCTCACATCCAAATAGGTAATCCATAGCACAACGGTGATTGCGATGCTTGCAATGATAGCAAATATACAAATTAACCATGAAATTATGCTGGTCAATACGCCCATCATGCCGATCATAAACAATGACAGAACTATATTGAATAAGAGAATTTACACAAATGATTGATTCGATAATAAGCGGAATTGGTCGAAAGAAGTCTGAATTTAAAAAAAAGATAAAGAACAAACCAAAAGCAACGAAACACATCATTAAAATTGTTGGCCAAGTGTTGTACAAATCGCTGAATACTTGTTGAGCAGTTGTCCATGAGTTCAGAACATCGAATGCCTTTTGGACGCCCTGGACAGACTTGTGATTAGTGGGAATGCATCGGTGTAGCAATGCTTTGCTGTTGATAGAAAAACACACACACAAAAAAAATATTATCACATTTAATTGAATCATACATTGATGAGATCATGTGTCAATTATCATTTGAGTTTTTTGGTACCTTTCATAGACGGGGAGCTTTGGACACGGTCCAAGAATATGAAAATAAGTCATATTATTTGGAATGGGTTTTTCCAACAGTGTCATATTGAAATCATACTGACACAAATGACTGTTTGTCTCCTTGTAATATCGGTACAATTGATCTTGGTCCAGAATATTACGATCGGGACAACTTTCGACGCATATTTTCAGTGTTTGTTGCCATTCTTTGATATCAAGGAAAAATACATATGGCTTTTTGGCCATATTGAGACCAGACAAATTGAAATTTTGGAAGCGATCATTGTGCTCGACACCGCATGTATTGCCAAAACTATCGAAGCCATTTATCAAACGAACTGGACTACCATAGACAAATGCAAACACCGCAATCGCAATCTGAAATTAAACATTTTTTTGCAATTTAAATGTTTTTTTTTTGTTTTATCTACATATAAAAGTATGAACAATGCCTCAACATTGTTGCTGACGAATTTTTAATTAACACATGCCAAAATGACTAATGGTCACACTTTTTTCTCCCATAAATTTCGCTACAAACATTTCGTATGCAAAATGAGGATTGTCCGAATCGGTTAATGACCGTTGTGAAAAGCGTTGAACTCAATGATTTTCAAACACGCAACACTATTTTCCATATATGTATATATCCTATCGCAGTTTTGAATACATTACATTGTATGCGGCAGAATATGGGAGCGAACTCAATATTTTATTTTAATGATCACAAAAACCGATGTCTACACATATATAATAAACTAATTAAGAAAGGATTTCGAACATTTATAGTTCGTAATTTTTTTTTTGCGTCTCTCTTATAATTTAATGTTTCTTTGTTTGATTACGCATATGCACTCTTACCATAAACAACCAAAAGATGATGTATAATGCAAGCCAAAAAACATCTGTGCAACCGCGGGAAGTTGCTGGCTTATAGACTTGTTCATCTTTGTTTTCATCCGGTGAACTAAAACACGACATTTTTTCTACCGATCTTGAGATACACCTCACGAATATTTAAAACGAATAAAATTTTATGTCTTTTAAATCATTCGATGATCAAATCACGGTAAACAAACTTTTCTTTATTTTGACTTTATGATGGATAAAATACCGAAAGATAGAGACAGAGAGAGTGACAAAAGACACTCGTCAAATTATGTAAATAAGAATTTGTGCGATTTGTGTTTATCTGTTCGGTTCGGAAGAAATATTCTGTATGATTTACCACACGCAATGTTTTGTTTGTGTGGTTTTTTTATATATTCAAAAATCTGTATTGTTTGGTTTGATTATATACACTGTGTGTTCAAACTCTGAAACGCAACAAAAAGTACGTTAAGTACGTGAAGTAAGAAGACATTCACAAAATGTCATTTATACTCAGAGAGTAGTTAATTCATGTTGATTTTTCTCAATTTTTCCCCATCAAAATTGGACTCTATCTTTCCGAAAATGTTACTTTTACAACAATAATACGATAGTTTTTGCGTCTAAAATATTTTTTTTGAAATTATATTTCATAAAATAAAAGAAAACTACCAAAATTACCGAATTTTTTTTGAATTTTTTGTTGTTTTGAGTAGATGGCACTGGCTACGATTTCATACAATGCACATTTTGAATACGAATCATATTTCATTTCAATATTTTTTTTAATGAATTAATCAACATAATTTAACTCATTGATGAAATTTATTCAGAAAATGCAATGGAATATAGAAAATTCATTGATCATATCGAGAGAGAGAGAGAGAGAAAAGAAGAATTCAAATAAAAAACAAAAATTCTATGGAATTTTTTTTATGGACGCTCAAAAATGACATAAGATCGAAAATGTTGTACGTGTATGGGTGTGCATATATTGAGTTTGAGAACGACATTTTGCGCTTTTTTCAGGTACTAACACCAATACAATGATATTCGGGCGCTTCTCTCTCAAGCAACATTGTGAAGTGAGCCTACATGACAGCAGTCGGCGTTTGTGTGTTGGTTCCACATACCGAATAGAAGAGCGAGAAGCAGAAAAAAAAGAACGTTCATAAGTACGGGATTCATAATAATAAGAAGAAAAAGAAGAGCAAAATAAAGCACACACAACCTAGCAATCGCCATTCGCGCGCATCTCACGTTCACGACAATTCATTTGGCAAGTGATGAAATAATAATACAATTATTGTATTTTTATCTAGTTAAATATTATAAATTAAAAATATCGTGTAAGTGGCAAATAATTATTTGAAAATTGATTCATTTGTAAAATTGTCAAATGCGACAAAGACATTTGCAAAAGACCGAACAGAAGGCACAAAAAAAATTATTCAGAAGAGAGGTAAATAACAAATCGGAGTGTGTGCATCTAATCGTGTGGTAGAATATACGAAGAAAAAAATCTATACACACTGTGTGTGTGAAAAAGTGATTGGAACTGTTCGGAAAGAAAAGAAAAAAAAAATTTTTTGTTAGCATACACAAATGTGTGTATATGATTTTTGCGATAGCAAATAAAAGGGAAAAAAACGTAACAAAACTGAAAATTGTATTAAAAAACATTGCATGCTTACAGAGCGAAGATTTTTTGGTTTTTTTCGAGCGGGAAAACCGAACGAAACACATTCATTTCGATCAACATTGTGAGAACAAACGGTGAAATTGAACAGTGAACATTAAGTTGCGGATAAATATATATATATACAAAGATAAAAAGAATAATAGAATTTCGTGTGTGTGACACCGATAGCGAGACCAAGTGTGAAACCGACATAAACGAAGTAATTTAATGTGCTCGATCGATTTTCTATCATAATGGATCCAGCAAAATTAAAGGTTGTCGAACTACGTGCTGCATTAGCAGCTCGCGGTCTCGATCAAAAGGGTGTTAAAGCCATTTTAGTATCACGTTTGCAAGCCGCATTGGACCAAGAACAACAAAATTTGGATGCAGCAGTCACTACAGATGTCGATTCGTCAGGTTTGTAGATACATTACATTGTTTTGTTGTTGTTGTTTCTTTTAAATGTTGCATTCAGCTTATTCGGGTTTGATAAACTTTTTAGCGGTTTTGGTGTTACATTGATCGGATTGTATTATCGATCCAATCTGAATTCAGTTCTGAGTGAAAAATCGGTGTTTTGAATTGTGTTTTATCAATCGATTCGAAAGCGTTTGTTTTGTATAAATGTATATATGTGTAGAGATGTGTAAAGAGAGATACGCTTTGAATTTCAATCGCCATCTTGAAATTCTATACGCTGCTTCACATACACATGCTTATTATCAGTGTGAATGTATGTCATACATGACTTTTCTTCCTATAATAATGTACACACCGAACGAAATATATGCATGAGACCACATTTTGAACATAGAACACGGTTAATATTCGAACGATTTTTTTCTGCCCCGGCTGAAACATTATCGCACTTTGTAAAAATACGAAATATAATGAAATGAACCTTTTTTCACAATATGGTTGTTGTTGTTTTCTTTCTCCCTTTCTTTCATTGTAGTGCTACAACAACAACAACAACAACAAGATCCAAGTATTATAGAAAATCAATTCCTACCTGAAGAGCAGTTTCAAGTACAAACAGAGCCACCCGTTCTTCCGGACACATCAACGCAATATTGCGAAGAATTGCCGACCAATGAACCTGAATCGGCTCCAATCCAATATGAAGCACCAATACCACCACCACAGCAGCAGCAGTCGCCACAGCAGCAACCGCAGCAAGAAGAGGCAGAGGCTCAGTTCTTTAATCAAAATCAAATACAACAACCGCAGCAGCAGTCGCCAGAGCAGCGGCAGCCACAACAATTTCAAGTGGACGACGATGACGAAGATGAAAGTCAATCTTCACGAAGTGAAAATGAAAGCAATGGCGATGAAAATAATTACAATCAAAATGATGATGTATCATGCGAACCGGCTGAACATCAACAATTTGCCAGCACCGAAGAGCCAATGGAAACGGAGCAAGCGGACAGCTTGAATGAATTTGCAAATCAAAATATTAGTGAATCAAATACAAATCATGAGTTAAATGAGTTAAATGAACCAACTGAAAGTGAGGAAATCACACCAACAAAGCAACCGGAATCAAATGAACCGATGACAACAGAAGATACAAATGACGATGATGAAGAAAAATTATCGACTAAAAATGGCAACGAAAAAGATGAAATTGGAGAGGAGAGTAAAAGCCCGAACCGTGACAAGGACAAACAAACACCCGAAAAAGATTCAGAAAAACAAGAGAGTCGAAAACGTAAGCGTTCACGTTCAAAGTCAAAATCACCGCCAGCCAAACGAGCCAATCGACGTGCATCACCTGCCCGTAACACCGACGACTTTACAAACGAAGAAGACGAACCGGAATTCGATGAGAATGCCGTTCTTTTGAGTTGGTACGATTCGGATTTAAATTTGGCCATCAATAAACCCGATCTATGTTCAGCTCGTCCATTATCTGATGGTGTATTGGCATTGGCCTGGGCTGGTGCACGTTCAACATACGGTGTGAACAGTGGAAAAGTTTGCTATGAAGTTCAAGTCAATGAAATCAATCGAGTACAAAATTTATCCGAAGAACGTAATTTATATGAATTACGTTGTGGTTGGTCGATATTATCGGATAATTTACAACTCGGCGAATGTAATCTATCGTTTGGTTACAGTGGTTGCGCTAAAAAAGCCAACGATAATGTATTCAGTGAATACGGTATAAAATATGGTTCACGTGGCGATGTTGTTGGTGTTTATTTGGATTTGGATAGTACGCCATGTTCAATTCAGTATACAGTCAATGGTGAATCGCAAGGAACTGCATTTGAATTTAATAAAGATGATTTGAATGGTGCATCATTATATCCACATATTTTAACGAAAAATCTTGCTTTTACTGTTAATTTTGGACAATGTTCAAAACTACTTGTGAATGAAGAACGTCCAAATCGTGCACGACGCGATGAAAGTTCACGTCGCGATAAAAACAAAGATAAACGAAGCAAAGATTCAAGAAAGAGTAGCTCACCAAGCAGTCAAACGACATCGGATGATAAGAAAAAATCCACCAAAAAATCAGAACCACAAAAATGCGACGAAAAAACTGAAGAAAAAACAACGGTTGAAGAAGGCACCGAGAGCAATACCGAGACCAATGCCGAGAGCAATACCGAGACCAATGCCGAGATCAATGCCGAATCCAATGTTGATGCCAACACTGACGTTAACGCCGAAACGAAAGAACAACCAGATGAAAGTGGCGGCGAACAAGGACCGGATAAGGAAAAAGTGCCCGCATCCGAAAATGGTGACAGCAATGATGATGCCAAAAATGGCGAAAAAGACAAACCAAATGAATTGCAACAAAAAGAATATTCACTTCTGCCCGGCTATCAATTGATTGGAACGATTGGCATTGAAAATTTGGTTCAGGGTTACCAAAGACCAAAAACTCGTAATGAATGCGAAGTCATTCTTTTAATTGGATTACCCGGCGCCGGTAAAACACATTGGGCCAATCAGCATTCCAAAGACAATATTGAAAAACATTATAATATACTTGGTGTACAGAATCTACTCAGTAAAATGACGGTATGTTAGAATTTCGGTTGAAAATTCATTTTCGTTTTTTTTCATTTTTGTTTTGTCAGAGAAAGACAAAATTCGAACCAAACATTTTAATTGAAATACATTTATTTGTTTAGGTTTGTGGAGAGTCAAGAAAAAAACATCATTCGCATGGACGATGGGAACGATTTATAGACTGGGCCACAAGAGGTCTTCACTCCATTCAAGATATTGCCGTTAAGAAGCGCCGTAACTATATTTTGGATCAGGTAAACTTGATGATAACGATGTCATTATTTTGGCAGAAAACAAAAAAATAAAAAATCAAAATTTGAAAACTATCAATGATTTTATTTAATTTATTAGGCAAATGTATTGGCATCTGCTCAACGTCGAAAAATGAAGGGGTATGGTGAGTTTAAGCGCATTGCTACCGTTATAATTCCCGATGATGCCACCCACAAAGAACGCTATGATAAAGTAACCGAAAAAATTGTATCCGAAAATGCACTCAATGAGATGAAAGGTGAATATGAAATATTTCTATTTTCACATCTTTTCGATTCCATATTTTACGGAATTCTTTCGTTAAATATTTTCTTCCAAAATTCTACACACCGCAATTATTTAATTTAATTTCAGCTAACTTTACTCTGCCCTCCACCGATTTTGGATGGTTCGATGAAGTAACATACACCGAATTGGACGAAGAGGAATCAAAGAAAAAAGTGCAGGAATTCAATGAAAAAGGCAAAAAAGCGACAAAAGAACGTGAACGTGACAGTGATCGTGGTGATCGTCGACGAGGTACGTACCAAATTACATGTTCTGTTCACACCATTGAAAATCGTTGTATTAATTTGATGCAAAACAAATTATCGCGTGAAATACGTTGCTAATGAGATGCAAATTAACTGTAGAATTTACTCACATAATAATGTAAACTAATCGATGATTATTGAGGAAAATCGATTTTAAATAGATAATAAATAAATGAATGTTTTTCACTCTTTGGGATAACAAATTGATATTGTTGATCGTGATATCAGTTTAGTAGAGTTAATTCAATAAGAAACGTAATTTATTTTGACGAATGTTTTATTTTTAACTCAATCTAGATGATAATCGTGATCGTTATGGTCGTGACCGCCGAAATTGGGGCCAATCGTCTTCCGATCGTCGTTGGAGACATCAACAGGGCTCATCATCTCAGTGGCATAATAGAGGTAAATTCATTTGGTTGCAGACAAGGTACATATAAAGTCAATTTAAAATATTCTATTAAATGTTGTTTCAGGCATTGGTGGCGCTAGTAGTGGCGGCGGAGGCGGTGGCGGCGGCGGTGGCGGCGGCGGTGGTAGAAGTCGCGATAAATGGCATGGCAGCGGCAATAATTGGGGCAATCGACGATATGATTATCCAAATCATCGTGATAGAAGGCACGATGACCGACGCGGCGGTGGAGATGATTTTTCACGCAACTACGATAGAAAACCACCAAACCGCGACTACAATCGTGGACGTGACAAACGTGAGGGCAGTGGCGTTAGCGGCGGCGGCGTTTCTGATAAACATGGATCGAAACGTGATAAAGACAACCATTCAAGCAGCAGAAGTGTAAGTTTAAAACATAGTTATACGCAAAATCTCATGAAATCATTCAATATTTTTGTTCGATTTTCGTTCTTCGCTACAGAGTTATAGTTCGAAAGGTAGCGGTAGTCATTGGAACACGAATAAATCAATGAGCTCAAACAGTCGCGATTACGGTTCATACTCATCTATGGTAAGTATCATTTTAAGAAATTCTATCTTTTAAATTGAATGAAAAACGACATTTTTTCAACGAAAGATAACGCAATTTATATAACTTTTATTTTTTTTAAAATATAGTCGTCTTCTCAACAGTCTTCAGCATCAAGTAACTGGGCAGCGGCGACCAGCAGTTACACACCACAACAACAGCAATGGTTGCAATGGTAAGAAACTTAGCCAATTACTTCATAAATTCACCAAATCTAAACAAAATTAACATCATTTTTTCTTCTCTTTCTCCTGATATTCTGTAGGCAACAACAAGGTCCCATAATGCAAGCAAGTCAGCACCAAAGCCAACAACAGGTACAATAATAATACTTTTATGACATTTTAATTGTGACAAGTGAACATGGGGTTGTTGAATGCATGAATTAAATAAAAATGATGTACAAATGTTCTGGTTTAATAATTTACTTGATTAGCGATGCTTACTAATGATAAAAATAAATTGAACCCCGAGATTGATGATAATCGTATTTAGATAAAACTAATATTTTTTGGTATAATTTCAATTTTTTAGCATCAGCAAGGTAATAATGCCCAATGGTGGCCACAACAACAGCAACAGGTAATTTAAATATTCAGCGATATTATTTGCGATGTGCAAAAAATAAAAAATTTAACCAAACTATATTTCACAATATAGGCATCTGGAAATCATCAAGGATGGCAGAATTGGGCTCAATATGCACAAGCATATGGGGTGAATGCTTCAAATAGCAATGGAGCAAACATGGGAAAAAAATAAGAGTTAGGATGAACGAGAAATAAATAACAAAAATACAAATGATTTTTTTACCAATAGTAAATTTCTGTACACAAGATTTTTTTTTTTTGCTTTTAATTCAAAAATAAAACATTACAAAAAAGACGGGCTAATGGTGATGGTTTCTTGTTTATGGTTTCTTAAACGCAATATAATGTGTTGATCGATAAATGTTTAAACAGTGATTACAGTTCGGTGGAATCGAATGTGAAATTTAGCAATAGCTTCAATGACATATACACGATCACGTGTATATTTACCATACGTAGATAGATAGCGAGTAGATCACACCTTTTATAGGTACCAAATTGACCGTCGGTGTGTCGATTTATTTATTTTTTTTTTTAATTATTTAGTCGCGACTTAAATGGCTATTTCATTGCCCATGAACGATTTAGTTCAATTATTACGATCGAGATAAAATTTCTGACTCTTGAAATTGTTGCACGAAACGATTTTTATATAGTATACAAACGGTGTTTGCTTCAAGTCAACGTCGAAATTTTACATTTCAATTTTTTTATTTATCAAAAGTTACGCAAAGATTTTTTATTTGTAGCGAATCACGTGCCAAACTGTCTGTGTCTCATATGTGCAGTGTCATGAAAATGCATTTCCGTGCTTTTATTCTATTTGAAAAGTGAACGAAGCAAAAAAAACTAGGGGGTAGACACATGGAATATTACTTGAGATATTCACCGAAATTGAAGGTATTCTTGGTATTCTTGGTATTCTCAGTTTTAGACGAAATGTCAATGCATTCAGCAACGTCTCACAATGTGCATATATGAATATTATCTTCCAAATATTAAAAAAACTTTTTCAACGCTATTAATTGTGGTATTTCAATTGGTTTAATAAATGCAAAAACAATTTTGATCAAAATAACAGAAAGAAAACAGAAAAAATTAAAATAAATTACGAAATGGTGAATGTTAAAACGAAATGGAAAAAACTTGAAATCTTTATTACCGATATCAATTTGACATTAGGTAATCACGGTATTCACATTTTTAGTACAAGTAATCTTTAAATAAGTAAGTAATTGTAGTATTTGAAAATAGATAGGTATTATGACAATTCATTGGTATTCATTCATTCTCTATTGTGTCTACCCCCTAGAAAAAAAAGCTATTCAATTCAATCAAGCATTTTTTTTCATGACAATTCAAAGCGTTTTGTTTCCATTAATGCACACAGAAAATCGGAAATATAAAATATATATAGTGTTTCGAATGAGTGGCGCGAAACGGCTCAATTTAAATTAACCGAAACAAATGAAAATCTCAAACAGTGCCGCACAGAGAATAGCTAAAAATTGAAAAAATGTCGATTTATCATCAGTCGTCGAACAAAACGGGAGTAAAACGGCCATTTATTTGATTACAATAGACTAGATAAAAACATTCCCATGAATATGGTTGCGATGAGAACGTATTGGTTGCCGAATCAGTACAGTCGTAATCGTCAGCAGCAATACAGCAACAACGAGAATCGAACAAACGACAAAGGATGTGTCTGTAGATGTGTATGTGTGCGTGCGTGTGTGTATGTGTGTACCACTTTGCTATGAACGTACTCATGAGTATGACGATGCCTTGATGTATGTATGTTTGGGTGCGAATACAATGAATTTCGCATGTTGGTGACATTGTCATGGCCGATGAAAATAATAGTCATACAATCGTATCGCAGTAAATAATGACAGAATTTACAGCGTTTCACATTTTTAGAATGCGAAGAATTTTAATGATTTATCACAAAAATTAGTCTGCCATACAGTGTGAATTAGAATTTTGTGTTGTTTCATTTAAAAACTAAATAAGCCGCATCTACTTTTCGCATTCATTTATTTTTTACAATAAATATTAAACTGTATTCAAGTGGAGTGCATGTGTGTGTATGTGAAGAAAAAAAAACGAGAAAAAGTCCTGTGCAAAAATTCAATAAAATTGCGAATACAAATTGTGTATTAAGAGCGAACTATTTTCTCGGTTCGATAAATCATTTGCATATAATCATCTGAATACGTGAAATGTGAAACGACGTGTAAATTCGTCATTACGAATAAGAAGAGAACGAAAAGAACGAACATGCACTAAATTTTCAATAATAATAGCAATCAAACGAAAACAGACGTCCGATGCTTGTTTTGTTTATAAAAGAGAAAGAGTGAATTAAGAAAGATAGCGATAGTGACATGATATCACTGACGATGACCATTATGCTTTGTGTATTTCTTAATCACTCATATTTATTGTGAATTGATAGTGAAAAAAATAGACAAGATAAAATTCCGCGGTGAAGTATTTTGATTGTAGCAAGTGCAAGCGGACATTAAATTTGTTTTTTTAATGGATGTAATATAAATGAAATGGTAATGCATTTAAAGAAGAAAATCGGTAGCCGATATTATGCGCATTATTTATTCGTGCTCGATTAAATCTTGCATATCTAAGAACTTATTATTAGATAACAGCCGCCGCATATGACGACAATGCGATAGAGAGAAGAAAAAAAATAAATAGAAAGAGCCGGACGTATACGCAATAATTGATTAGCAGACAAACCGATATGGTTTGGGTTTCTGTGTGCACATGATGTGGTTCTTGAAATATAATCAGCAGCAATTGTTCTATGAAATATGAAATATGAAATGAGAGAGAGAGAGAGAGAGAGACAAGGAAGAAAAAAACCACCACACAAACTAATAACTGGGTTGTTTTTTTTAAATTTGGTGTTCAATCTAAACAATGCAATGTCGTAAGTCTGACCAAATATTTTACCTTTATTATCGATAATATTTACGTTGTAGTTTTATAGCGATATTGGTGCTGCGTTCGTTGAATATATTTCTTCTGATAAAAGTACCGTTTTTCAATGAAAATGCATTAGTTGGCATTCGTATATTTTACTTCTTCTGAATTCATTCATTCGAAATTGTTTTGTTGTTTCTTTTAGTATTGACGCCATTAGTCGAATTTTGTAAATAAACCAAAGCATCAAAATCCACGAAGAATAATAAATGCAATCAACAAATCTAGTCAAGAAGTAAAACATTATTTGAAACCAAACTAAAACAAAGATGTCATCTGGAAAGGATCAACAAAAAGCCCGCGGCAATAAAGTGGCCCATGGTTGGGAAGAGGCCGGTGGTGAATTTTATCAAGAATCATTTCCAACCGATTTGGATGGTGCTGTTATTACACGAGATCCCACAGCTCTTGCCACATTATTACCATCGAAACAGAATCGTGCTGGTAAGATAAATGTTCTAATTGTTTGTTGAAATGAACGAGATGAGAAAAAAAGCAAAAACACCATAAATCCATCTGACAAAAATCGTTCAAATAAATTCAAGCGGAATCCTAACGGAACGAAGCCGATTTGAGTCAAAATCAATGAAAATGCTGGGATTATCTGTCGAGAGATAGTTTGATGAATTATTATTACAATATTATGACATGCTAACTTCACGCTTCGTTTAAAAACTGCTCTTTGATTATGTGCGATCTTTTTTTCATTGTTGTTGATGCTGTTTATCTGTACATATACAACGGATATTCGAGCCGTATATACAAAAGATTTTTCTTTGATACAACACTTTGGCTTTGATACGTTTTTTTTTTGTTTTCGTTTTGCTTCTTTCTGTCTTTTGTCAAATCACAAATCATCAACATCACATAACAACATATATATGATATTAATTTAAGCCAAGGAACCAAAACAATTCTCATACTCACAAAATACACACATAAATTTTAAGATCGTCATAGATACGTAAATGAATGGTTTCATTGATGAAAATCATACATATATATTTGAATATAGTACGAATAAATGAAACCAATGGCTAAATAGATGCATCATCATTGACAAAAATATATATAATCGCTATTTCTTCGGGGGTGGATATCGTCATTTTTTCGTGGGGACAGCAATCAACTTCTTTGAGTTTGACACCGTTTTTATCCTATTGTAAATCATAATCGTTCAACTTGATAAATATTGTTTCATCTTCGCAAATTGAAAAAAAAAATGTTCATTTGTATTGAATAGGCTCGTTAAACCATTAAATCAGTCAATTTTCCGGTTTGTTTCAACAATGAATACACGTATAGTTTTCAATGATTTGAATAGAAAAAAGAAGCTGTGAATTAGAACGATTTACAACCGATTTATGACGATTTGCGTTCGTTTTTCTTCTTCTTCATTCTTTTAACTATGAAACTGTGTTCAATATATTTTCAATCTATATTTATAGCAACAACGAAACGAGTTCGACGTGACCGAACGGCAGCTGGTACAAGTAAGCAAAGTGGCGGAAATACAGCCGCCGACCGATGTACAAATCGAAAACATAGTATATCAACATCACGACAACATCACTCATCTATAAGACGCGGATCTCAATTTCATGAAGTTCACATTGCTATGCTCCCCGATTTATCGGGTAAGTGTTACATATTGGATTTGTTTCTATTTTTTTTGTTTTTGTTTCAATCTTATTGTTGTCGATTTTTCCATTGTTGCAGAGAATCTGACGGATGAGGAGCGTATATGGGAAGAAATTCATGAAATAAAATCGATGCCAGTGTCAATGGCACAAAAACGTGATATGAAGGCTCAATTACAGAATGCGACAAAACTGCGTTTGCAGGGTTTTGATCAATTTAAATGGCAACGACGAAAAGTGTGCCAACAATTTCATGCCAAATGGTCCGAATGGTGGATGAAAATGGCACTATGGCGTAATTCATTAAAAACGATCGAAGGCAATTGTGGCACTGGAGTGGTTGCCTATTTTCATTTTTTACGTTGGTTGATCTGTTTAAATTTAAGTATTTTTATTTTAATTTTATTATTTATTGTATTGCCACAAATAATTTTAAGTCCAACATATGATGGCGAACAGTTAATTGATGCATGCAACATTGAACGAAATTCAACCGAATGTTGTTTTTACGAATATTATACAAAAAAATCATACAGTGACGTTATTGTATGGGATTTGATTCAGGGAAAACGATTTATGGAAAAAACAATCATGTTCTATGGCATGTATGCGAAAAAAGTGTTCGGCACCAGCATTTTGCCAATGGACAATGGTTATGTGCCACAAAAAAATGTCACATCATCAAATACATTTGTAGATACTCAATTCATTGACGATGAATCCATCAATAGTAATTATACAATTGGCGGCGAACAATCGTCGTCGATACCGTTACCATCATTTCTGTTCTCATCATCATCATCATCATCGATAAATCCGTCAACGGAATCGAATGGAATTCTGGATCTCAAAAAATTGCAATTTTATTATAATTTGCCATTGGCCTATCTTAGTGTCAATGTTGTATTTCTATTGATGTCACTGATTGCCATCGTTAAATCGGTGTCACGTGAATTTAAAGATCGTATGGTCGAGGGTGAGGGACAATTTTATCAGTATTGCAATTTAGTATTTGGCGGATGGGATTTTTGTATTCATAATCAAAAATCGGCGCACATCAAGCACAAAGCATTATTAAATGAGATAAAAGGACTTTTACAATCCAAACGCATGGAATTGGAACGATGTAATCGTCCAAAAGATTTAATGTTCAAACTCATTATGATTCGTTTGCTTGTGAATTTAATTGTATGCGTTATTCTACTGGCGGCCGCTTGGATCATTTTCGAATCGATTAATTACAGTGTAAAAGCATATGATCATGCTGCCACAAATCTGTATCAAAGCGGTGGCAGCACCAGCAGCACCAGCTATAGCAATATTGAAAATGGCAACGAATCATCCGAAGATGATGATGAAAATAAGGATAACCACCGTTTATATACACTACTATATGATTTATTTATTGAATTTTTGCCATACATAACAATTGTATGTATGAATTTTTTGGTGCCATTATTATTTAATTATCTTGTGCAATTTGAACAGTATTCACCGATGTTTGTCATCAAAATTACATTATTACGTACGGTTTTTTTGCGTTTGTCATCGCTTGGCGTATTGTTAAGCCGTTTCCATTATTTGATAACAAAAAAATTTCGACAAGACAATGGCCAATGCAATTCCGATTACGGTCCATTACAATGTTGGGAAACATTTGTCGGTCAACAATTTTATAAATTATTGGTGGTTGATTTTGTGACACATGTATTTGTTACATTATTTATAAATTTTCCACGAGCAATGCTTGCCCGTCATATAAACAGTCGTTTCACCCGTTTCATTGGCGAACAAGAATTTGAATTATCAAAACATGTGCTCGATATTGTTTATTCGCAAACAATTTGTTGGCTTGGTACATTTTATTCACCATTTATTCCGGCCACCGCTGTTGTATTACATTTTGGTATGTTTTATGTGAAAAAATTTGCATGTCTTATCAATTCAAAGCCATCGGCCATACTTTATCGTGCATCACGTTCGAATTCATTGTTTATGTTGGTGCTACTTTTATCATATGTATTGGCCGTGATACCAATTGTGTATGCGGCTGCCGAAATAATGCCATCACGACCATGTGGACCGTTTCGTGGTTTGAATTCGGTATGGGATGAAGCGATAAATGCATTCCGTGAATTACCGCTGTATTTACAGAAAATTATTTTCTTTTTTGGCACCGCCACATTTGCCGTTCCATGTTTTGTCATTTTGATTTTATGCTTATATTATTATTATGCTGTTTCAGCAGCAAATAAGCATATGGTTGAAATGTTAAAGAATCAACTGGTGCTCGAAGGACATGACAAACAATTTCTATTGAATCGGTTAAGCTCGTTTTTGAAGCAACAACAAGACTATCAGAAAAAAATGGAACACAATTCATCGATTCCACCACAACCGCCACCACGAGAACCGATTGTCAATCAATAACGTTAAATCGACTTTTATTTTTCTTTTCTTTTTTTTTTAAATATATACAGTTTAACTGTCTCTCTATCCATTATTATGTCCATTCACAGACGATAAACGAAAGAAAAAAAAACTGACTGATTACACACACTTTTTTAGTTTCTATATTCTTAGATGATAATCCCAAGTCTTATTTAATGAGAACTGAAGTATTACAAATGAATATCTTAAACCAACCACATTTTCAACGGTATAAATTTCCCCCCATTTTCCCTCCCTTATCAATAAAATAATGTACTATGTATCACTAATTATAGAAATAGTGTTCATTTCATACCAAATTTAAGATTTACACAAAATTAACCAAAATATATCCAACTAACACTTTGTACATGAATAATCGCGCGCAAAAAAAGAAGAAAATAACAACACCAATAAAATAGACCGTTTTGTTTATACATTGAAATCCATAAAAAAATTTGAAATACCATAATATTGAAACAAAAATCAATTTTATCATTGTAAGACTCTTTATTATGAAATAAAATCTAGTAAATAAACATCATTCGAATGCTAAAACATGACTATTACCTTTTTTATATGCGATAATTACATTTTTACTTTGTTTTCTCAATTTTTTCAATATATTCTCGTGCAAAGTCTTCGGTTCGTTTCGATTTACGTTTTTTAAGAAACGACTCAACAAACTTTCTGTATGTAAACAATGCAATTGTCGTACCGACTGTGAGAAAAAAAAATTTCGTTTGTATCGAATACGAGCGATTTCTTTTTATCGCGTACGGTTGCATCTGAAAAAGTTTGGAAAAAATAAATTCAAAAAAGTTTCCACAAAAAAATGAATAATTCATTCAATGTACTTACGGTTACTTTTTATCATTCGATTGTGAATCGTTTGGCGGCTGCTGTGATTCTTGTGATTTCTGAAGTTCTTTCGATTTTTGGGTGCTCTCTTTAATTACTGGATCCCAAGCATATAATTGACAAGAGATTCCAGCGATGATTGCAATAATTACGTCTGAATTCCTTAATCCTCTTCTTCTTAGTCTAAACATTATTATCTTTTCGTCCCGAGGTTTTAGCCATCTGAACTAGATCCTATTTTGTTGGTTATCAATTGACATTTATTTTTTTTCAAACGCACCGTTCGAACGATATTATGTAAAATAAATGAAATGTCAGTGATTGTCAATGTTATACCAACGAAATAAAACCAAAAATGAAAACTAACCTTTATTTTTCTTTAACGAATTTCAAAAACAAATTTATTTTTCACAAAAAAAAAATCCCGTTCTTTGGTTGAAACAAAAAAAGTCTCTCTATATAATTTTGTATTTTCCAATGTACATTGAGCCTTAATATTACTTATTTTCTCCCACGAATCATTATGAAAGAGTTTAATTAAGTCTTTTGTTTGAATTATATGCGACTAACTACTGGAATCACTTTTGGATTCGTCCTCCTCCTTCTGGAAGTTGAATGTTGCTTTTCCATCATCAATTTGGATTAAATCAGCCAAAATCGAACTCTCATCACGATGAGATGCTTTAAGTAGTGGTTGCCAACAATAAATACCCGCTACCAAACCAAAAATCGCCCAATAAATTCCTTGCATCATAGATGCTCGTTTTACACCGATCGGCTTTTTGTATATAGACATTTTAGTTTTAAAAACTTAATCAAAAAATGTTGATTAATCGGCATATGACGCCCAAAATAAATAAAGTATCGAAACGACTTTTTTATTGAATTCAACAATTTTCGCAAAATGTGTACAATATTCAATGTGTTAATATCTGTCAAAATAGAAAATGAGAATTGTCTAGTATTGCCAACCGTTCAATGTATATGTGTGTTGGTCATGCGTCAAATAAAATGAAAACAAACTAAAAGTTATATCAATGACTGTGACTGTGACTGTGATCATGATGATGCACATGATCATGTTTAACAGATGGTTTTGAATCACCAAGGGCTAAAGTGACTTTTGATTCAGATTTTCTACCAAGATAACTGCAAATGAAACGTCCAATCATAACCAATTCGGGTAAATCGATGCCAGTATGCAGTCCCAAACCATTTAGCATATAGATAACATCTTCAGTTGGCACATTGCCGGAAGCACCTTTTGCATATGGACAACCGCCCAAACCAGAAACAGCCGAATCGATAACTCTTATGTCATGATTCAATGCGCACAAAATATTTGGTAATGCTTGCCCATACGTATTATGACAATGAATCGCTAATTGCTGTGGTTTGGCAATTGTTTTCACTTCGATCAACATTTTATTCATTGCTGCTATTGAACCAACACCAATTGTATCACCCAATGAGATTTCATAGCATCCAAGTTTTAATAGGTCTTCAGTAACTTTGGCAACAGCCGTTGGCTGAATCGGACCTTCATACGGACAACCAACTACCGTTGAAACATAACCACGAATTTTAACATTTGCTTTTTTTGCAGCTTCAGCAACAACACGAAATCGATTTATACTTTCTTCAATTGAACAATTGATATTTTTCTGCGAAAATGTCTCGGATGCTGCAGCAAAAATTGCAATCTCTTTCACGCCACCGGCTATCTGTTTGAATTGTGAAATGAACACAGTTATCATTGATGATAATTATCAGTTAACGGGCGATGAAAAAAAAAAATTTCGATTGAAAATACACTCACAGCCGCTTCAAATCCTTTTATGTTCGGCACCAATACGGGATATGAAATGGAATCATCCTTTTCAATGCGCTGAAACACCTCCGAACTATCTTTGAATTGGGGAATCCATTTGGGGCTCACGAAACTACAACGATTTCAAAGGAAAAAACTTCATAATATTTTGAACAAAGTTTTATTTTTCAGTGGTGAAAGTTCCTTTTACCTTGTCACTTCAATGTTCTGAAAACCAACTTTTGATAACCGATTTATGAATTCAATTTTGACATCAGTTTCAACATATTTCGGCTCATTCTGCAAACCATCTCGTGGCCCAACCTCAACAATTCGAATTGCATTATCGCTGCTGGTTCCATGATTTCGTATGCTCTGTGTGAATGATTTTCAGAAATCGTCAATGAAAACAAGAAAAAAAAAATCAAGAATATTTTTATATTTTGAATTTTATGGACACAAAATTGAAAAAAATAATGTTATTATTTTCAAGGCGATACATACATTTGAAATTCTCTGTGTTAATTGAATTGATTGACGACGAAATTGTGATAGCTTAAATAGTGACATTATTTAAAAAAAAAACACTGATCAAAATGAAAAGAAATAAAATTTATTTTGTGATAGTAATTCGAATGCCTTGACTTTTTATTCAACACTGGAAATGATAAGTACCGCAATGTTTTCGTGTTTACATGCTTATCATATTTTTTCGATTGAATTTGATTACGGTATTCAGAATATTGTCGATAATGCAGTTCTCTACCGGCCGATTTAATTGTTTCGTTGTGCTTTGAACGCACTCTGCATACTTGTTTTTGTTCAAATGGATTGAACGCCTTTTTAGTACGCGTCAAAGTGTATTCTGTTTGACAATAGAATCGTTTGAAATTTTTTAACGAACATAAATAACCAACCACTCACGTTCAGTGCAGAGCATTGTACAAACTAGATATACATTTTTTCTTATATCGTTTTTCCGAATCTTGCGATTTCACATCAACAAGTTACATTCAAAATTTTGTGAGCTCGAGTGTTAAATTAACTGCCGGCAAAATTATATTCACGTGGTTTTTGTTTTATTTACTTTCCAATAAAAAAACCGACCGCAAAATGTCGTCAACCGATGACAAAACCGATAGCGGCTCAAAAAATAAGCTGGATATCGAAGCATTTAGACATCATTTACTTAACTACAGGTGCATAATTGTTTTTATTTTATCCATTCATGTGGCTAAAACATGAATTTGAATTGTATTGACAGAACAAAGGCAGACGATTCGGAATCTGATCTATACCAATTCGATTTGGACTCTAGTTTCAAGCGTATGCTTGACGAAAAACGACAAGCTACCAACAAAGAGAACAATCCACCATCGACTGAACCATCAACATCATCAACCAATCCACCGGAAAAACCAATGCGCAAAGATTTGATGAAAGAACGTAAGTTATTACGTTTGTTAGTGGGTGAATGTGGTCAATTGTATGAATGTTATATGGAACCGCTGAGAACATTAAAATGAAAGTTCTCTTTAATGATTATTGCGTGATTTCATGTCGATGCATTTTTTCAAACAAATTCAATAGGTTTGCGAAGCCGTATTGACGATTCGTATATGGATCAATCATACATGATGGAATATAGCGTTGGCAGTGAAATGGAATTTTCAACGATAAATCGTCTAATGGCTGATTTCAATATAAATCGTGATTCGTCGGTGTGCCAAAAACGGTCACCATTGAAAATGTTGAAAATAACTGGCGACTCACTGAACGAAAATGGATTTTCGTATCAAATTCAACGTTCGGAAAATTCAACCGATGCAACCAATCAACCAAGAAATCAAGGTACTTATATATTTTTTTGAATTTCTCTTCCGATTTTCACAAGAAAAAAATTAATAATAAACACTTGTAATTCATTCGAAATTTAATTAAAGCAACCAATGATCTAGCTGCTACTGCATCGGCCAACATTGCGGATGATACACTAGAAGAGATTGAATATGTTTTAGATCGTGGTTTGAACTATGTACCAAAGCGACTTATTAACGAGATAAAGCAGACACCGAAAGATGGATTAGAAAAGTGTGAAAATCAAACGGATGAGATGAAAACCTATGAAAATGACGAAAACCAAGAAAACAACGAGAATCAAGAGAATATTGAAAATGATGTTGAAAAAAAGATAAATACATTTTCTGATTATAAAACTGAAGGAAATTTCTATGAAGATGAAATAATTGTGCTCGATTCCAGTCCAGAGACTAGTTTTGCAACAACACAAAATACAGAATGTTTTAAATCAGCATTCGAATCCAATGAGACGACATATCATACAGCAAAATCCGATCTGAACAATGTGTCTGTGGTGTCAATTGATTCAGATTCGGATTCAGCTATCAATGAATCGATGAACAAATCAGAAATTGAAAATTCCAATCAAATGATTGCCCAAGATTCTGGCGAAGGAAGTTTAGAATTGAATGCAAGCGTTCAAAATGATGTCACATCGTCTAGTGATAAATATGGTGACATGCCCAATTTTAATGATACATTAGAGCGCGTGGAATACATGATGGAACAAGGGCGTATGATGATGCTCGATAAAAATGCAAGAAATACACCCATTCAAAATGTAAGGTCATAAGTTCTTTTTAGTTTTTTATTACTTGTTGGTTAATTTCCATTCTTTTCTATGTCATTAACCGTAGGTAAAGTCACAAAATGCACAGAAGAAAACACCGATTTCGCAAACAAAGAAAACACCGATTTCGCAAACAAAAAAAACACCGATTTCGCATACAAAGAAAACACCAGTTTCGCAAACAAAGTCAAAAGTTTTAACGCCCAGTTCATCGTCGGCGAAGAAAACTGGCAACGCTGGTGGTGTCAAGCATTTTACACCAAACAATGCCGATTTATTCAAACGGCCAGATCAACGCACTGTACGTTCACCATTTGGAGCCAAATCGGCGTCAGCATCAAAAGCTCATGCACCACCACAACATTCACGCATCCCAATGAAAACTAGTTCATTGCAGAAACCACAATTTCGTCATATTGCCAGTCCGATTGCAGCTTATATAAATAACACACCAGAAGTTCCGCTTATAAAAACAGTTCGACCAGCACGAAACTTACATATGGAAGACTTCAATAAGATGTATCCATCGACATCGTCACTTGATGAAAGTACACAAAGTGTTGAAATATTACCAATGAAATCGGCATTGCCACGTAAAATGTACATATCGGCACCACAACGAAAGGTATATTCTTTTTACTCTTGTTATATACCCCTTTGAAATGTTTTCTTATTTGGTTTTTTTTCTCCATATTCAAGATCATTGATCAACGGCACATGGTTACGCCAGGCGGCCAAAGTGTTCAGAAACTGATTGGTCCAGCACCATTGGTAATTCGTCATGACGGTAAAGTAAAAAGTCAACAGAATCAGGGACGCGCAGTTGCGCAAATGTTCGAAGACAGTTTGGCTGATCTTTCAATTGCATCTGGTGATATTTCAGTCCAAGGTAAATAAGTCAAAAAATTTCCGTTTTGCAAATGAATAATTTCAAATTTTTCGCTTTTACAGTTGTTCAAGATGTTCATCGCAAAAATTAAACACACGACTGACACGATATTATGCTTTTTTTTATCTCTCTCAAGTTTGTCATACGTATTATGTATTTTTCAATCCATATTTTATCAAATAAAGTTCCAATAATTTAAATATATCTTTTTTTCTGTTATTCGTACGTACGTAAGGCTTGGTTATAATATACATTAATAGCGTATTTCAATTAGAATATTGAATGAAAGTATTAGGCAAGATCATCAAGTACTTCTGCAATGTCCGGATAAGAAATGACGAGGCATAAAGTACATTTGACTTCAAATTGATTTGAAACTTATCCACCGAGCAGAATTGTTAAGCAGAAAAAGTGATGACACTTACGGTTTGCATTTATGTGAAGTTTGTTATGTTTGATGTTTGCTGCAAGAAAGTGATCCGATTTTGAACTGGCCAAATCAAGTTTGAAAAAAAAAGAGTTTCTAATTGAAAAATGAATTGGAAAAATGATGCGAAAAACATTTATTTTACAGATAATATTTTTTTTTTTTGAAATAGTCGGCCAAATAATACATATAAAAACAGCGGTCAAATATGAAGTGTCAAAAACAACAAACCTGTAGTGTGTAGTCATATACTAAAAGCGAGAGAGCAGTAACAGAATGAGAATGTGTTTGTGAATGACTGTCATTTTTTAAAAAATTGAAGAGAAACCGCAATTTTCTGTGCGCCGAACAAAAAGCAACGGATAACACTTCAAATTGGGAAAAGTTTAGACCAAAAGTAGATGAATGACATTGTTCAATAGAAATTCAACAGGTTTGAAGGTAGAACACAAAGATCTCCATACAAAACATGTTTTTTCAGTTAATAGCATTTTGTGCTATAGTTTCAGAATGCACAATTGAAACGTCAACGCAATACGTACATTACATTGTGCCAATCACAGCATAAGCATCTTTGTTACGGTAACTTATTAATTAACTTGTTACGGTAACTTAGTCAAAGTGAATTTTGAAACTTTTATTTTATGTGAACATATTTTAGTGTTGAATTATCATCAGATCGACAACAATGTTACGACGTTCGGCCAGAATAGCTGCAACTCAACGCACAAGGACTGCCGGCAAACGAAGACGACCGCCGGCACCACCAACACCGGACACCACACGAAAGCGACGCAAATTGAGCGATGCCAATGATCAAAACGACATTAGTTTAATAATGGCACCAACCAAAATAAACGGGAGCAAACGCAAACTATCGATTTTGGATTTGAACGACTATTGCTTGGAGGAAATATTCGAATGGCTATCGCTGGAACATTTGAAATCAGTTTTTAAAACGTGCACACGCCTACAACAGCTCGCCGGCCGATACTTTCAACGCACTTATTCGAATAGTTGTATTAGGTTTGAAAATGGATATCCGTACATTCGTACTAATGGCGGCTTGATTGAATGCGATCATTTCAATGCTTTTTATCAAAATATACTGATCTGTAGTGATAATATCTACATTGACCCAATTGACAATGAATTAATTCAAAAAATTTATGATTATGGTTATGGCATGAGAATGCAGATGAGTAAGCGGAAAATCAAACCAAAAATCACAATCACAGAAGTTAAAATCAATTGGGACAAAGTACTGCATTTATATAATATCGGTATTATTCGTGGTTACGATGAACATACTGATCGCGAAGTGTGGCGTGATTTGCACGATTCTGTGCTAAGGCACTGTGTGAATTTGAAGAAATTTGTAATGGTATCCCGTTTTATTCCAAAAGTAAGCAGTAAGTGGTTGCACCAAAAATATCCAACACTTGAGTACCTCCAACTTAAATTGAACTTCACAAATGACATTGAAATGAACAAACTAATGAATTTCCTGCAATCAAATCCAAATATTCGAGCCTTATCAATTGATTTATGTCGATCAAATGATTTTTTTGATGCGGCGTTGAAATCAAGCGTTCAACTGG